TAGTAGAGACGGGGTTTCACCATGTTGACCAGGATGGTCTCGATCTCTTGACCTTGTGATCCACCCGCCTTGGCCTCCCAAAGTGCTGGGATTACAGGCTTGAGCCACCGCGCCCGGCTAGAGGCATGTTTTCACCATGTTGACCAGGCAGGCTTTCTTTTGTTTGCATATTTTTTTCTTCCTTTTCTTCTTTATTTCTAGAAGCATTTTAATTGTAAAATATAAATTATGACTGTTAAAAAATCATTTCCCTGTTTTGGTTACTATTATGGCTGATTACAATTTTTTAAAAATTTATTTTATTTTATTTTATTTTTATTTATTTATTTATTTGAGACGGAGTTTCGCTCTTGTTACCCAGGCTGGAGTGCAATGGCGCGATCTCGGCTCACCGCAACCTCCGCCTCCTGGGTTCAGGCAATTCTCCTGCCTCAGCCTCCTGAGTAGCTGGGATTACAGGCACGCGCCACCATGCCCAGCTAATTTTTTGTATGTTTAGTAGAGACGGGGTTTCACCTTGTTGACCAGGATGGTCTCGATCTCTTGACCTCGTGATCCACCCGCCTCGGCCTCCCAAAGTGCTGGGATTACAGGCTTGAGCCACCGCGCCCGGCCCAAATTTATTTTTTTTTTAAAGGTGGGGTTTCGCCATGATGGCCAGGCTGGTCTTGAACTCCTGACCTCAGGTGATCCACCCACCTTGGCCTCCCAAAGTGCTAGGATTACAGGCGTGAGCCACAGCGCCTGGCCTACAAATTTTTTTTTTTGAAATTTCCTGGATAAATGTTAATACTTCATTATTAACATGACTTGAGACAATACAGAAATGAAAATGAACATTTGTTAGTGAAACATCAATTATCTAGCTCCTGGTAGTCATTTAATCTGTCACTCACTCTTTAGAACTTCCATCAAGACAAGAACTCTTTTCCAAGGGTGTGTGATGTAAAATTACATTCTTTTCTTTTTGTCTTTGTGGCAGAAGTCTGTCTCTTTTTAGAAGACAGATGGTGATGATGGAAGCAAATATAATGGTATGTGGTACTTGACCATTTTTTTAAATGGATGATACTGAACATTTACCAAAGTGCCATACATGGCTCTTATTTTCTAGGTCCAAATCTTCATGAGGAAGGCTCAGCCCACTGGTTTTAAGCATTTCTGGCAGTTCCTAGGTAGATGAACAGAACCTCAATGGGCTGATTTAATGAGACCAGAGTTAAAAACACCCAGTTGACAGGTTAGTTTTTACTTTTATGGAAAAAAATGTGATGTGTGTGGCTTGGTTTGAATAAATCTTCACTGAGCTAACTAGTCCACTGAATTTACCTAACCTGTAGGTAAAGAAAACAGAAATAACCTCTGACCGACTTTGTTTTATAGGCTTCTTTCTGTACATATAGATATAAATAGATGGCTAGATAAATACAGAAACACAAAATGAGTAATGGGTATGTCTACATAATGTTTATTTACCACACAAAAAAGAAACCTTCAGAAATAAAGTATGTCAGATGACATATCCGTATTAATTATCTAAATAGTGACTGTGGCTTTATCAAGGCAGGCCCGAAATGGTAGATGTGAACAGAACATGCACACACTGAAGAGAAATGCAGGGTGCTGAAATAGTAACCTGGACAGATGTGTTACATGGGTTTATTTTCAGCTTATTTCTGCAGCCTTGCCCTTGAAGATAAAGCTTTGTTTATATTTACATAAACAACATTATATGGCTATATTCCACTTTGACATGTTATTTAGTAGAAGAAAACAGGAATTCTACATCAGCATCTTTAGTGCATGCTAGAAGATTAACAATGTCTTTTGGGGCCAGGTGCTGTGACTCGCTCACGCCTCTAATCCCAGCACTTTGGGAGGCCGAGGCAGGTGAATCACAAGGTCAAGAGTTCAGGACCAGCCTGGCCAAGATGGTGAAACCTCATTTCAACTAAAAATACAAAAATTAGCTGTGCATGGTGGCAGGTGCCTGTAATTCCAGCTACTCCAGAGGCTGAGGCAGATAATTGCTTGAATCTGGAAGGCAGAAGTTGAGTGAGCAAAGATCACGCAACTGCACTCTACACTGGGTGACAGAGCAAGACTCCATCTCAAAAAAAAAGTCTTTTGGGGAACATGTTTTGTACACATGAACATTTATATAGATCTATTTATATAATTCTCTATGTGAGTGTTTGTCTTCCTATGTGTATTTATATCTAGATGTGTCAATCTTTGTATTGCTGTGCATTACTATGAGTATTAAGATAAAAAATAACTTCTGGGCCAGGTACAGTGGCTAATGACTATAATTCCAGCACTTTGGGAGGCTGAGGTGGGTGGATTACCGGAGGTCAGGGGTTCGAGACCAGCTTGGCCAACATAAGTAAAATCCGGTCTCTACTAAAAATACAAAAATAAGGGCCCGGCGTGGTAGCTCAGGCCTGTAATTCCAGCATGTTAGGAGGCTGAGGCAGGTGGATCACCTGAGGTTGGGAGTTTGAGACCCACCTGGCGAAACCCTGTCTCTACTAAAAAAACACAATAATTAGCCGGGTGTGGTGGCAGATGCCTGTAATCCCAGCTACTCAGGAAGCTGAGGAAGAAGAATTGCTTGAACCTGGGAGGTGGAGGTTGAAGTGAACAGAGATCGCACCACTGGACTCCAGGCTGGGCAACAAAGTGAGATTCCGCCTCAAAAAAAAAAAAAAAAAAAAAAAGCTGGGCACAGTGGTGCATGCCTGTAATCCCAGCTGCTCCAGAGGCTGAGGTAGGAGAATTGCTTGAGCCCAGGAAGCAGAGTTTGCAGTGAGCTGAGTTTGTGCCATTGCACTCCAGCCTGGGTGACAGATCAAGACACTGTCTCGAAAAAAATAAATAACTTCCAGCCGGGCAAAGTGGCTGACGCCTGTAATCCCAGCACTTTTGGAGGCCAAGGTGGGCAGATCACCTGAAGTCAGGATTTCAAGACCAGCCTGACCAACATGGAGAAACCCCATCTCTACTAAAAATACAAAATTATCCAGGCTTGGTGGTGCATACCTGTAATCCCAGCTACTCGGGAAGCTGAGGCAGGAGAATCACTTGAACCCAGGAGGCAAAGGTTGCTGTGAGCTGAGATTGTGCCATTGCACTCCAGTCTGGGCAACAAAAAACTCCTTCTCAAAAAAAAAAAAAACAAAAAAAGCCGGGCACGGTGGCTTATGCCTATAATCCCAGCACTTTGGGAGGCCGAGGCGGGTGGATCACGAGGTCAAGAGATCGAGACCATCCTGGTCAACATGGTGAAACCCCGTCTCTACTAAAAATACAATAAAAATTAGCTGGGCATGGTGGTGCGTGCCTGTAATCCCAGCGACTCAGGAGGCTGAGGCAGGAGAATTGCCTGAACCCAGGAGGCGGAGGTTGCGGTGAGCCGAGATCGCGCCATTGCACTCCAGCCTGGGTAACAAGAGCGAAACTCCGTCTCAAAAAAAAAAAAAAAAAAAAAAAGCATGAAGGTGATGAAAGTCATTTATTGCCATGTTAGTGTTGACCCTTCTATTTCTGTTACACATGGTGCCAAAGTTGAACCAGCCTCAGTCCAAAGTTTCTCACCAAAATCTGAGAATGTTTATTGTTTCTCATTAGGACTTTCATCAAGGCTGGGTACAGTGGCTCATGCCTGTAATCCTAGCACTTTGGGAGGCAGAGGCTGGTGGATCATGAGGTTAGGAGCTCAAGACCAGCTTGGCCAAGATGGTGAAACCCGGTCTCTACTAAAAAATACAAAAATTAGCTGGGTGTGATGGCATGCACCTATAGTCTCAGCTACTCAGGAGGCTGAGTCAGGGGAATCACTTGAACCTGAGTGGCGGAGGTTGCAGTGAGCTGAGATCATGCCACTGCACTCCAGGCTGGGCAACAGAGTGAGACTCCATCTCAAAAAAAAAAAAAAGACTTTAATCAAGACAGGGGCTCTTGTTTATTTCGAGTGTGCAATATAAAAGTACACTTTTGCCCTTTTGCCTTTGTGGCTAAAATAGGGTCTTTATGGTAATAGAAACAAAGCCTAGGTTTCTTATTAGAAGATAGACTGTGATACTGAAAGCAAATGTAATGGTACATGTTAGCTGGCTGCATTTCAAATAGGTGATCGTGAAACCTCACTTAAGCACCAAAGGTGGTTCTTATCGGTCAGGCCAGACCTCCTTGTGAAAAAAATTAGGGTCACTGGTATGTCTGAAGATTTCTAGCTGGATGGACAGAACCCTAATCTAATGTTTTGATTGGACTCTGAATTAAAAACACCTTGGTGCGCAGCAATGAGGACATTTTCACATATAGCACAACATGATTTGATGTGTGGCTTGGATTTGATAAATCTTCACTGAGCTAATAGCTGATTGGATTTACCTTGTCTGAATGTAAAATAAAAATTATCTCTGACCTACTCTTCTTTGGCATTTTTTTTTTTAAGACAGAGTCTCACTCTGTCGCCCAGACTGGAGTGCAGTGGTGTGATGTCGGCTCACTGCAACCTCTGCCTCCTGGGTTCAAGCGATTCTCCTGCCTCAGCCTCCTGAGTAGTTGAGATTACAGGTGTAATTTTTGTATTTTTAGTAGAGACGTCTGGCTAATTTTTGTATTTTTAGTAGAGACGGGGTTTTACCATGTTGGTCACAAGGCTTGTCTTGAACAGCTGACCTTGTGATTCACCCACCTTGGCCTCCCAAAGTGGTGGAATTACAGGTGTGAGCCACTGTGCCCAGCCTGGTGGTCTTTTTTATACATATAAATATAGATAAAAGGTAGGTGGCTAGATAAACGTGTACACAGAAAATGGGTTACATAGGTATGTCAAGGTAATTTCCATTATTGCATATGTCCTGTGGCGAAGCCTCAGAATAAATAGGTCAGAGATCTTTTTTCTTCCCAAATTCTGCAGGCTTCATGTGTTTAATGAGCCACTTAGATCAGGTCAGATGAATATAAGTCAATTAGCTAAATTGGGAAAGTGAAGGCATCCAGGCAGGACCCAAATGGCAAATGGGAATAACATAGATGTACAGTGAGAAAGGAAGCAGGGCCCTGAAATGCTAAGCTGGAACTAGAGTCTTACATGGTTTTACCAAGAGCTTACTTCCCAGGCCATGCACCTAAACATTAAGCTTTGCTGATGTTTAAACATAACATTGTATGGCTGTGTTCCAGACTGAAATGGTATGAATCCATATAGGTGAGAGTAAGTTTATATCTGCATCCTCTGTGTAGGCTGGGGAATTTAAAATGTTTGTTGATTAATATCTTTTGGCCAGGCGTGGTGGCTTATGCCTGTAATCCAAGCACTTTGGAGGCCAAGGCAGGCAGATCACCCAAGGTCGGGAGTTCAAGACCAGCCTGACCAACATGGTGAAACCCCGTCTTTATATATATATATAAAAAATCTTTTGTATACATGAATATCTACATAGGCAAACTCATATAATTCTATATGCGTGTGTTTGTCTACCCATGTATATCTATATACAGATCTAGCTATCATTTTTTCCATATGCATACAGAATAAAGATATAGGAGGTCAAAGGATAAATAGGTATTTGTACTTATAGCAATGTAAAGAAAAACTTCAATAAATGCAAAACCTTATTTGCTCTTTAAATTTTATCCACAAGAGCACAAAAATGGAGGTATGCTCTGACCTGCATCTTGCTGCGTTTAATGTTTTCATAGAAAGAATTGGTTTTTGTTGCTCATATCTGTTAGCAAAAATGCACTAAGATCATGAGAGTCATTTACTGCCAAGTCAAAAATGGCCTTTTTTATTCTGGTGAATGTGAAAACATTCAAGCCTCAGCTTGAAGGCTTTAACACAAATTTGCAAATGAGAAATAATTCTTTTTAAAGCTTCTCTCAACTTTAGGGCTCTTATTTTCTGAGATTGCAGGTGGGCACCACCACACTGAGTTAAGTTTTGTATTTTTAGTAGAGAAGGGGTTTCACCATGTTTGTCAGGCTGGTCTCCCTGACCTCGTGATCCACCTGCCTCGGCCTTCCAAAGTGTTGGGATTACAGGCATGAGCCACACTGGCTTTCTTTTTTTTTTTTTGAGACAATCTTCACTCTTGTTGCCCAGACTGGGGTGCAATGGCGTGACGTGATCTTGGCTCACGCGACGTCAGCCTCCCAGGTTCAAGTAATTCTTGTGCCTCCGCCTCCCGGTTACCTGGGATTACAAGCACAAGCTACCACACCCAGCTAATTTTGTTTTTTTAGTAGACACGGGGTTTCTCCATGTTAGTAAGGCTGGTCTTGAACTCTTGACCTCATGTGGTCCGCTGGCCTTGGCCTCCCAAAGTGCTGGGATTACAGGCGTGAGTCGACTCGCCGGGCAGAAATACAATCTTATTGTTTTCTGTGCTCAAGTAGTGACATTTTGGGTAAGAAAATTAAACATGAGCTCTCTGACTTGAAGATAGACTGGTATATTGAAAGCGAATTTCAGGGTGTTTTCAGACGCTTTTTTCTGTAGACTTAGATACAAATATAAGATATGTAGATAGATAAACATATACAGTCAGGTGCAATGGTTCATGCCTGTAATTTCAGCACTTTGGGAGTCCAAGACAGAGTCATCACTTAAAGCCAGGAGCTCAAGACTAGCCAAGCCAACATGGCAAAACAAAACACCGTCTCTACAAAAGTTACAAAACTTAACTGGACATGGTTGTGCACACTTGCGATCCCAGCTGCTAGGGAGGCTGAGGCACAAGAATTGCTTGAACCTGGGAAGCGGAGGTTGTATTGAACCATGATCACACTACTGCACTCCGGCCTGGCTCTTTCTTTCTCTCTTTTTTTTTTTTTTTGCCAGCAATGACTTTTATTAATGTCAGTTGTAAAACTTTTTAAATACTATCTTCCATGTAGTTAGTGGTTCTCTCTACGCGATTAGTGTTGCACTGACCTGATTACTATAGATTCTTCATTTGATCATGCATTAATTATATGGCAGTTTGCATCCATTTGTAAGATAGCCTGCTTACCTATCCAGGTGTGACATGACTGTTTTGGAGATGTCTGCACCTGCTTCTTGCAATATTCGGATAATCTGAAATGGTGCCTTGGAGTGCCGCCCAGGATGGATAATAACAGGGCAACCAAGCTGAGCCTGGGCATGAGTGGTTCCCTGGAGAACCTTTCTTTCACTCTCAGTCAAAGGCCAGGAGTAACCGATTTCTCCAATAATGCCACACTCGATACTGGTTCCATCCGCTCCGTGGAGAATTTCATTCATAAGGACATCGGTAAGCTGCTCCACTGACATGGCTCTGGTCTCTGAGGAGTGAGTTGCATTCACGTAAAACCCAGCTCCGGATATGATATGGACGCCAGTCTCTTCTGCAAGCGTCTTCAATGTCTGCACGTCTCGGCTAATCCTAGTGGTTGTGTTTTCCACCAAAGCCCCTCCACCATTAGCTTTAAAATACAGGGCCGGGCGCGGTGGCTCAAGCCTGTAATCCTAGCACTTTGGGAGGCCGAGGCAGGTGGATCACGAGGTCAAGAGATCGAGACCATCCTGGTCAACATGGTGAAACCCCGTCTCTACTAAAAATACAAAAAA